GAGCGCTGGCGACCTTGGCCCCGCAGGAGTGCGTCCTGCTTGTGCTTCAGCTCCAGCAGCTTGGCCCGCACCTCCTCGTCCCCGCACAGGTCTGTGGAGAAGCGGGCAGAGGGTCAAGGCCGCCCTCCCTCTGCTCACATGCACCTCGAGGAGGTGGTCCCAGCTCACCAAGAGGCGTCTCTTCCATCAGGGACTTTCCATTGAGGTCGGCACCGTGTGCCACCAGCAGCTCCACCAGGTGCACCTGCGGGCCAGTGGACCAGGCTGCTGAGCTCCAGAGCTGGGGGACCACCGGCGCCCGGCCGCCCACTGCTCCAGCTCACTCACCTGGCCCCAGTACGCAGCAGCATGCAGTGGCTCCCAGCCGTCACGGTCCTTGGCACCCAGGCTGACCCGGTGCTCCAGCAGCAGGGCTGCTGCCTCGCTGAACCCGTTGGCGGCGGCGATGTGTAGCTAAGGCAAAACACCCCTCCTGAGTCCTGGCCATGCCCGCAGCACCCTCCACCCCTTGCGTTCCCTCGCCAGTCCTCACCAGCGTGGCCCCGTGGTCCCCAGGGGCGTCCAGGTCAGCCCCCATCTGCAGTAGGCCTCGGATGTGCTCCAGCATGTGCAGCTCCGGCAAGGCCCGGGCCCCCTCAATGCCCTCCTGGGTGATGCCTGCAGGGCAACAGGCTCAGAGCCAGCGCCGCAGACCCCACCCCGGCAGCAGGTGGGAACATGGGACCACACTCACCCCGGTTGGCCATGGCCGTCTCCAGGCAGTCCAGCGTCTGCTCATCCTCACATAGGTCGTAGGGCATGTTTCCATCGGTGTTGACTGCCAGGAGGTCAGCACCACTGCAGGGGAGATGGACAGGGTGCTGCCAGAGGGCCTCCTCACCTTCTCCCTACAAGGGAGGCCCCCAGGTCCCACTCAGAGGTCCTTCCTCCCCCAAAGCCTCAGCCTAGGGCTGCCTCCAGGGAATGTGGGGCCGACAATGAGGCCCAGGCCCCAGATGCTGCTGGGAGAGGCTGCCCCTGGCCTGTTGGTGCCCCTCAGCCTTGGTTCCTGTCCTCAGCCCTGCAGTCTCCTCCTGTGTCTGTAGGTTACTGGCAGCCATCAGCCCCCAGGAACGTGCACATTGGGCCCACCTGCCAGGAGTGGGTGATGGTACTCGGGCGGCCCCAGGGGCAGAGCCTGGGCACCAAGACAGCCCTGCAGAGCTGCAGGGAGCAGAGCTCACGTGGGAGCCTAGAGGGGGGGACACGGGCGGGTGCCCACTGTGGGGGAGAGGGGCTCAGTACTGCCCCTCTCCCTCGCACAGACCATCGATGCCTGGTAGCTCCACAGACAGTCTGAGCACCTCACCATCTGTCCTACTAGAGGGGTCAGAGTGGAGGAGCTGTGCGCGGGGGCGGGGGACTGCTGGATCCAGTGAGGCCGACCATCTGCACGCTCACTCCTCATGGTCAAGGCCTCACCTGGGTCCAGGTGCTCCTCCCTCCTTGCCAGTTTCACCCTCATCACGGACCAGATGGCCTGTCTCTGTACAGGGCCTGGGGAGGCCAGGAGGCCTGTGCTGGAGGTCAAGGCCCACCCTCAAGGAGCTCCTGAATTCGTGACAGTACTTGGCAGGATATACCCAGATCAGCAGCCAGGCGAGCAGACGACCCTGCCTGGAGTGCGTGTGGCCCCTGCCCACGCCTGGCTCTCCACGCCAGGACACAGGCAGTAAGCAAAGGCCAATGGGAGCAAGAGGCAAGGGCACACTTCCTCCAGATGAGGTGCCTGGGCTGTGTCTTAGGACCAACTGCCCGCTGCCCAGCCATGGTCCCTCCCTGACACAGATGCCCACTCTGGCCACACCTGCTCCCAGGGGCCCTACCGGGCAATGAGCAGCTCCACCAGGTGCAGGTGGCCGCAGGTGGCCGCAGCGTGCAGGGGGGTCCAGCTCTCACTGTCGCGAGCGTTGACTGTGGCCCCGGCCTCGAGCAGCTGTTGCACCATTTCCCGGAAGTCATCAATGCAGCTCTGTAAACCAGGCAGCCTGAGCACCAGGCCAGCCCCCTCCACACCCCCAGCCCCCAGCCAGCTCCGCCCTCCCAGCCCCTGCAGGGCTCACCTGGTGCAGGGCCGTCAGACCATCCTCGTTGGCCAGATCCGGGCTGACCCCGCTCTGAAGGAACTGGCGGACTGCAAGAAGGAGGGGGTGTGCTCAGGGGGCAGGAATGGAGATCCTGCCACAGGCCGGCTCTGTCCTGGGCAGGCCCTGCACCTGAGGTTACCTGGCTGACTGCTGTGCTGTGGCTGGGAGCAGAGAAGGAACGAGGAAGATGGTGGTACAGGTGGCAGGAGGTCTCTGCCTCCAGCCCCCAACAGGACCCACCCTTCACAAATCCTGGCACTCCACCCGTCAGACTCCCAGATGCACCCCCTCCTGTGTGAGCACGGTCGCACTGGGCTCCAGACTACCCCACTCTGGCCTGGGTGTTGGCACCCTCCTCCAACCCCCCCCATGTCCTGTGTCTCCCCCCCAGCCTTCCCCACAGACCACTGGTACCTGCCCCTCCCTCCCCCCACTGCGGGCTCCCAGCCCTGTTGCAGCCGGGAGTGTGGGCTGAGGTGCCGGGCCGGCCCCCCAGGGTCTCCCCAGGAGCAGAACTGGCCCGGCCCTCACTCCTCTTCAGCAGCCCCACTTTGGGCCCAGGCTCTTGCCAAGGTCACCTTTGACCTCTCTGTGGCCTGGACCTCCCTGGGGGTGCTTGTAGGCAGCACAAGGACGCACCCTCTTTCCCACAGTGCCCTGTGCCCTGTGCCACACCCACCGCGCCCTGTCCACTTCCCCAGCCTCGGGCCTTCCTCGCCCCAGGCTCTGCAGCAGAGGCCCCTGTCCTGGAAGGGGGTCGGGGAGGGACGGGGAGCCTGCCCAAAGCTGAGCCAGGACTCTCCCGAGCACGGTCCAGCCCAGGGCCTTCTCCTCCCGGGTCCCTGGACCAGTCCCTGCAGGAAGGCTAGGCCGCCCCAGCCCACTGCAGCCACGCCCTGGACACCGCTCCAGGCTCCTAGAAGCCTCACAACGGAAGCAGGAGCCTGCACGCTGCCCCCTCACCTGCAGCCACAGCTGAGGCAGCTGGGCTGGACCCCAGGCCCCGTGAGATGCAGCTGTGTCCTCGGCAGGTCTCACGAGGACGTCGCCAGCGGGACAGGGACAGGCTGTAGGCGGCACCACCCTAAGGTCAGCCACACTCACCTTCCTCCAGGTCATTTCGGGCAGCGGCCTCGAGCAGGGTGACACTGGGCGGGAAGAGGACCCGCTTCTGCGGCCTGCCGCCAGCCGCCTCCGTCCACAGCCGCTCCCTGTGGCCCTTTCTGCCCTGGGCCTCCTTCTCAGCCTGGGCCCACATCTTCACCTGCTGGGCACGGCGCTTCTGGGCGTGCTTCAGCCGCTCCTGCGTGCTCATCCTGCTCACCGCGGGCATCTCTGCCAGCAGCTCCAGGTGCTGGGCCATGGCGGGGGCTTCCCGCCAGGGGGGTTGCGCGGGGCACCAGACAGGGAAACAAGGGGGCCAGGCTGGGCCTGAGGGGCGGGGCAGCCGGCTGGACAGGGGCCCTCGCGGGCATCCCCTCCTCAAGGCCCAGTGCCCTCTGCCCCTGGTAAGGCTGGGTCAGGAGATCCCACTCCGTGACCAGGCTCAGGCAGCCCAAGGGGCACAGGCCCCTGGCAGAAAGGGCCGTGTGGGAGATGCCAGCAGCCACCTCTCGGGAGTCCTGGCAGCTTGGCTGTTCGAGGGCAGGGCCTCCCTCTCTCCCTCCTGGAGTCAGGGTGCACAGCCTGGGGAGCAGCAGGACCTGTCTGCCTTAGTCCAGGCTCTGTAGCTGATCACCCAGGCAACAAAGGCGCAGCTTCCTGGCACCTCGCCAAAGGGGAAGGGTGGGTAGGACAATGGGCAGAGGCCCTGGGAGCCCCAGAAGCCCCTTTCCTCCCAAGCCTCAGGCGCCCGGATACGGCCTGGGAGCAGCCATGGCCTGGCCTCCTCCGTCCTCTGCTTCCTCCTGTCTGGTTCCCAGGGTCAGTGCATGGGCACGAACCAGGAGGTGTGGCCGGAGGGCGGGCTCAGCAACCAGAGCAGCCAGGGCAGGGTGTGTGCTTAGAGCCTTGGGGTCCCAGACATGGTGCCCGGGGTGAGGCGGAGCAGGTCTGGCAGCCGTCTTCAGGAGGGCAGCCCCTGTGGAGGAGCCCGGGCAGGCAATCCGGCCGCAGACAGCAGCGGTTCCACCAGCCTGAGGAGGAAGAGGAAACACAGGGAGGCTGGCGAGGCTCCCAGCAGCTAGCAGGTGAGACCAGGGCCTGCCCTGTATGAGGCCCAGCCCGTGCCCACAGAGAGCCCTGCTAGACAACAGTCCTGGCTGCGGGGAGCTGGGGGCTTAGAGCCGGGGGGTCCCCCCACAGCTTGCTCTGCCCCCCTCTGAGTCACACTGTGTTTAAAAAGGCTGAGAAGGGCCCGGCCAGTGTCGCTCAATGGTTGAGTGTCAAACTATGAACCAGGAGATCTTGGTTCGATTCCTGGTCAGGACACAGGCCTGGGTTGTGGGCTTGATCCCCAGTAGGGGTGTGTAGCAGGCACACAACCAATGATTCTCTATCATTGATGTTTCTCTCTCTCCCTCTCCCTTCCTCTCTGAAATATATACATACCTTGTTTTTAAGAAAGGGCTGAGGAGGGAGCAGGAGGCTGCCTCCAGGGCCCAGGGACTGCTTCAGGAGTTGTTCTCTGCTGCTTCCCAAGGCTCCAGGTTCTGGCCTTGGTCCCATAGCATCTGCCTTGTCTGCCCCCAGGCTGGGCCAGGCAAGGTGGCCTTCTCCTTGGCTCTCCAGGAACTGCCCCAAGGGCAGGCCCTACCTCCTGGGCCTGCGGCCAAACAGGGCCCCGCCTGTCCTGGCCAACACCCTGGCTCCCCAGGCCCCGCGTCCGGGCCTCTTCCTCCGGGTCCCTAGCCCAGTCCAGTCGATGCCTCGGCCATCATGTGGACACGGCGGAGTGGCCTCCGGGTTGGGGTCTATTAACTAGGCAGGCAGCTTGGCTGGGGCACAGCCGCATAGAATCCACAGTGGCCTTCCTGCCCAGTACCCGTGTGGCCCCTGGGTGTGATCACATGACACGCCTCAGGAGGCCCTGGCTGTATTTCATCCAGAAGGTCCCCCTTTCACTCGGCCAGGCCTGTGGCCATCTGCATACTGACCCCTCCTCTGGCCAGACTTGTATTTAGGGCGCTCAGTGAGAACCCCTTCTTTCTGTCCTGGGCCAGATCAAATGAGATCCGGTTCTTCCTGCTTCAGGAGCTCCAGTGTCCCTGGGAGCGTCCCTGTCCAGGTCCGACCTGCTCTGGCCTCTGAGCCTGGCCTGGGCGGCGTCTTGGGGATGGAATTAGGGAATAGCTGTCCAGGCAGCACCCCTGCTGCCAGCTGCTACCTCTGCAGACCCTTGGGGCCAGGGGCAGACGCCAGCTGTCCAGACTCCCCGCCCCAGCCCCCAGTCCTGCCTTGGCCCTCGGCACACAGCCTCTCGCAGTGAGACAAGCTGGGGCCGGGCGCTGCAGACACCTGCCGGCTCCAGACCACACCTGGGGCACAGCAGAGCCTCCCCCCGCCCAGACCGCCTTCCCTCCTTTCTGCTGGTCACTTACAGCTCACCTCGCTCCCCCTGTCCGCCCAAGAGCGGAGGTCCCCCCTCTCCCCACCCCCTGCAAGGTGGGACCTTCACCTCTTCCATCAGTCTCTGGGTCTGTCAGGGAAACAGACCCCAAGAGACCAGGAACACAGGGCGGAGCTCAGTGCCCTCTGCTTGGCCCGCAGTCTCCAGCCAAGGGGAGTCCCCCCAGCACACCCTCCCCCCCCCCCCCCCCGCTTCCCAGCAGGGTGGGCTCCAGGGTCTCCTGCACCAGTTTTACTCTCCAAGATGGCGCCACCATCAGAGCCACTGCCTTATTCTGTTAATGAGATGGAAGCGATGTCATCATTTTATACGAGAAAAGAGACTCTGATGCCACGTCCTGCAGAAAACCACCCAGAGTCGCAGCAAGCTTCCCACAGAACACACGCCGTCTGGTTTTGGCATGAAGGCTGTCTCTGCAAACCCATCGCAGAGC